CAGATTAAGCCGTCCATGCCAAGGTAATATAATGGGGTAATTACACGAAAAATTAATAACATCTATAAAACATTCTGTTCATTGTCTACGGATTGCATCTATTTCCTGATTACTGATAACTTGTTTGAAACGCACAGCATCCATCCCCCTGACCCCCCACCAAAAAAAAAAAAAAAAAAAATTGCAGAAGAGTGGATGAACAATAGCATGTGTATGCTGAAAAAATGTTGTTGCCATGCCAAAATACCACCGATAGATAAAAATGAGGACTCCGGGGTGCATGGAGGAGGTTGTTTGCAAATGTTAGAATGTTAATTGAGGCAAAGTCAGTGACACTATCATTTTGAGGGTTGAAGATGAAATACTTCTTGGACAAAGAAAAACCGTTCCCTATTCTGAATGAGACATATATTTTATGTTCAAATGAGTTTCGCGAGTAAAAAGGCGATCACAAAAATCCAGGATGAAAAATATGCATGCGTGACTGTCACAGCACACAATTAGCAAAACTGTTTTTTTGTGTGTGTGTTTTTCATGTACAGCATGCTGAAAAATATCCAAAATACATAACTAAGAAATTTGCCCTCCAAATATTCAGACAAAAGAAGGATTTGAATAAGCATACACACTTGTCTTCATTGTTGCGAGTGGAGCGCTTGTGCCAGTGGTAAAAACACAATTTTTATATACGGTCATAGGTCAAAACAATACATTATTAATAAGTGCAATGTCTAGTCATAAAAAAAAAAAAAAAAAGTTTTATGGACTGCAGTGTGATGTTGTTTTCGAGCCCAAAGGGGATCGCATACAAAATCTGTTCCCAAATGAGGCCTGATAAATGAAAGGGTTGAAATGCATGCGATGAGTGCGTGTGTGTGTGTGTGTGTGTGTGTGTGTGTGTGTGTGTGTGTGTGTGTGTGTCCAAGTATGGTTAAATCCCTGCAGGGTTTCTTTCTTTCCTTTTGTGAGAAACAAGATTTTTTTTTTTCACTGTGCAAGTGGAGCTCACCTTACCTCATCTTCACCTTTTCACACTGACTGATTGTTGAGCAACAAAATACAGCTATGACATAATAAAGCCATAAAACTATTCTTATAGTCGTGAATTATGCGATGCACTGCGGTGCCATGCTCATTAAGTGCAATTAATGGCATGAAAATAGACGAGCAGGTTTATAGGAATCTTCCAAAAAGAATTTAATCACAGCCATTAAAGGATAATTAACTTGGTTTTACTAGCCCAACTTGACTCCCTTTTATTGCACTTGCACTAAAATCTGGCGCATTGTGTCAGCAGCTTTAGCAATTCCAGTCAGATTAGGTATATGTTTTAGCAGTTATTTTGAAGTAGGTAACTAGAATAGCACTCAGTAGAGCGCAGACCTCTGCTAAAGTTGAGCTGATAACAACAAGCGTATTTGACCACTTTGTGGCAAGCTGTCGCGTCTGCAACCAGAGGAAAAGGCTCTGATAAGAACAAGGCAGTGAATGTCTTTATTGTGAACCAATTCTCCCAGCACGCAAAATATGATGTGGGGCGGACAAGACAACCAATAAACATACATGTCCAGAGACAATCCACATACTCAACTGTATATGCAACCAAATGCTTCCATTGCTTTCATACAATGTCAACTTATCCTATCGATGCATTCGCATCCTCTTATCACAGCTCTAGTCAATACATGCAACAAATAAACCATTTTGTCTCATTATATTATGACAAGACAAGTCCATTTGAATGAGGTATGACCTCATATAGAGAAGCTATAGTCATTAGGCCGGGTCACCTCTTCATCGCGCACAGGAGTCAAGGACACCATCTGGCTGCACTCCACAAGACACATATGTCGTCAGACGTTACGCTAGTGTGCTAAAAGCCTTTGCCTTCCAATAGTTGGTAACAGGATCTGAGATCTAGTTTTTTTCAATTACAATTTGTTCAAGTTTTACAGTCCAGTAATCTGGGTAAATGTGGCATTTCCAGGCAAAACCCATCTAGGGCAGTGAGTCTTCAAAATGATCGTTCACAAATACATATACGGTATTGGTGATTTTCCACACAATCGTGGAAATAATTAGACCACCCTGTTATCATTGTAATGCCTGTGACCACTAGAAGTGCATCGGGTGACAATAGCAGACAGAAAATAAAACATGGAATTCCTCAAAACACCATTTTTGACAAAGCTATTGATGTTAGAACTTCAGTGATTTTGATCGTTCGAGAAAGCCATGGATAATGACATTAACTTGACATCATGACATTTGTCAAACAAATCGACCTTTTGTTCATCCAGTCATTATAGTAATTAGAATTCACTTTTTTATTCAGTGAAGTGCTACATTTACATAACCACACAAACAACATTTAGCTCAGCAGTGATGACCAAAATGCTCCATATGTTCAAGCAACCCTCGAATGAATATGTAAGAAGATATGACCTTACCTGAAAATGGATTCAAAGTTTGAAACAGACTTTGAGATGCAATACCATCACAACCCTTCGTCTTCTGTCTCTTTCGGCACACAAATGCTTGCTACTCCAAAAGGAAAGGGGGGCACTTTCCTCTTCCAAAGGAAGCAGTTTCTTCCTTCCTCTGCACTGAATCAACAGTTGCCTTCAAGTCACCACAATCACGCAAGCATTGTCCAGTTTTTGCGGTGAAATGCTTCTTTCACGGCACACTCAACTCAACCATACTTGAACACTTTAAAAACAACCATTGCTGCATACAAAGTTCTGTACATAAAGTAAAAATCAGACATATAAGGACAAAGACAGTTAAAGGAGTAAATTCATAACATAAAGACGGTAGATACAATAAAACACAAAACCAGGCCCACCGTGGTGTCAGCAGTTATGGGCTTGGCGCAATCCTGCTTCAGCTGGTAAATTTTAGACAGAGAGTCATTCAATCAGTATGGTGGCCGAGAATCTCACAGGACATCAGGACAAAAGTAACCCAGTGTAAAATTTGCAAAGAGAATAGTATCACACAAAAAAAAAGAGCCTTTAATTCCAAGTGAGTTGCCATCTAGGCAAAAGGTAGGCATAGATCTGTGCGAGCATCGGAAACAGTCATATCTGGGAGTATCAGATTATTATTGTTGGGAGGAAGGTGGCCTGTTGTCTTCCTCTGCGTGTTCGCTAATTTCAGATAATGAGGATGTTGGTTGTCCAAATACAGGCTGGAGTTGATGAACAGTTTCTTCGAAGCTTTTAATAACAGAATATTCCGGGCACCAATGAGTTACAGACAATGGCTGCGGATCACGAGTGCAAAGAAGCAAGGGATTCACATCATATTTATTTCATCAGAAGGGCGGTACCGAAACTTATGGTGTGGCATCAGTACTTTCGTTTTCTCGAAACCGATTCTTAGCTTTTCATCACCTGGCGTGTCCTAACAGTCTGTGCGTCTCCACAAGGTCTCCAGTAGGGAGTGAATCAATATTAACTGATGATTGCGCAAAATCTCGCTGCGGGCATGGGAAAGTTATACAGCATGACTAAATATGGACAGAATATACACATCACTATTCTCGGTACATTGAGGTCCTACATGTGCTGCTAACCACAAATAAGCAAGTCAATGAAAAGCAAAAATTCCTGATTGCACGTTATGGCATTCCAGATGTGTTGGTGAACGATAATTGACCTCCAAATAGTTTCAGAGGACTTCAGTCAGTTCAGTAAAGAATACGACTGTCCAGTTGACATCTAGGGCACATTATGATCAAAGTAATGGACAGGTTGAGAGGGTTGGGCAGGCAGCAAAAGCTATTCCTGAACAAGGAAGCTCCTCTCTTAGCTTAGTGCCTCAGATGGATGGATGGATGCTGTTGGTTTTACTTATTGATTGTAGCTTCTGTTTGTTACAATGCTGTTGTGTTATTTGTTGTTTTTTTATATTGTTGTGTTTAGTTATTTGTTGTTGTGCTTAACTGATGTTTTGTTTGGTAAATTTTTTTGTGCTTTTTTTTTTAATATGCGATGATGCTTAGTTGTGATTTTAATTTTCAGTCGTGTTTATTTCACTGTTACCATGTTTTTTTAAAATGTGTTTGCTGTTGTGTTTTACACTTAAAGGCCACCGTATTAATGTTCCCAGAGTGAGCAATATTACAGACTATTTGCATCGGCTCTAATTAGTTATTGCAGGACTGCCTGTTTATTGAAGACTGTACCTCATTTTTGCCACTGGGTGGCACATTTCCAAATTATTACATACTGTACAAATGACAGAGATGAGCAGTTATTTTACACCCATGAAAAAGGGCCTGCTGGCAATTTCCAACCCAAATCGTCTTGCAAACCTTATAAAAGGAGATCAAAGATTATTAAAAATAAAAATTAAAAAATGGCACCTGCTCTTGAAAAAAAAAAGCTTGATGAATTTTCCCAAGAGAAAAGAAACTTAAAGCAAAAAGAAAGAAAACAAAAAGATGATTTCAGTCTTAGAAAAAGAAAATCAAAACGAATAACAACTCCAGTGAGATGAATTTACACAATAACCTAGGGCATTTTGAATGAATGAATTCAACCGATGTAGCTCAAACTTTACAAATAGGTACAGTTCAGAGGGGGCAATAAATAATTAGTAATGTATTACGTTACGATAATAATATAATTTCTTCATGTAACAGCTCTTAAGAACTAATTTAGTATGCGTATTTTGCGTATTATTTACCACCGACACTATCCTTTGCAGTACAGGCATTTAGGGTTACAAGTTGCCTAAACAATTAAAGAGCTTAAGATTTGATGAAAACATTTAGTACACACATTTTTTTTATTATCTTTTTTCCTGATTTATTCATCTGGATTTTTTTTGTAATGAACTCAGTTATTTTCATGATCACATGAAACTGAACTTGTGCCTTTCAACCATCATGGTGGTGAGCACATCAACCATACTGACCCAATGCAGCAGTGGGTAGGCCTTACAGAGCCATAAGAAACAAATGGACGAAATAAAGAAGCACAGTCATCGTGAAACTACACATATACTATACATTTTATTTAGTTTATCAGACAGAATACACAAAAATGGAAAACAAACAATTCATACTCTGTCTGCACATGTCAGATCAAAACTCTCTGAATTAAGTTTTTTCTAAACACACCATCAATTACGTTTTTTTTTTTTATTTGTAACATTAATGCTGTATGAAGGGTGCAAAAGATGATCGGGCAAACTGTACAATAAACAGGTTAGAATGATAAAAATAACAGATGAGAAGCAAATGTGGACAGTCATTGAAGGAGGACAAGTTGCACTGAAAATATAACATAGTGACTTGTCTGTGCATTTGTAATCGATAAAACATCACCAAACAGAGTGTGTTATACAGACCCAGCTTTAAGATGCAAAAATAACTGATGATACAAAAATCAAAGTTTCAAACTAAAACTGGAAACAGTTTATATTTGTGTTTAACTGTATAAACTACATGTTCCTTCAAAATAACTACTTTGACTCTTCAGCGAAACAGACCCTGCATAAAATTATACCACACCCATTCGTGAACAACTTTTAATTGAATGAAGCAGGACAAAATAATACCAGTAACAAGTTGTTAGTGGAAAATTTGGTGAAATGGTATATTCTTAATAAATCTCGACTATGTACAGGAAAACAATATTTATTACAATACAATTTATTTACAGTTTGATGGGGCCTTAAGGTATCGCTCTCCTTTCTGTCTATCATTGCATTTCTATCCATTGCGAGACTAATAAAGGTTTTCTTATCTTATCTTGTCACAGGTAAGCTTAAAAATGAGATGACTGCATTTTCTCTCTTTACATATGAACGGAGCTTTGAAAAGAGTGTCATGTGCTGTCTGTCATATCCGTATGGAGGGAACGTCTTTTGGGGTTTGAGTTCAGGTCATGAACAATTTACTCATTTTTTGGTGATACAGACAGTTCAATTTTCGGGAACTTCAAAGCACCCCTTGACCCACTATCACTGCTGGACGATGAGGACAATCTTGATTTTGGGGTGGCCAATGACACACCTGCACTACCCTCCACTGCTGCTTCACTGCCTTCACCATATGTCACTTCATACGAGCCCTTTGACTTGGAAACAAAACCTCCAAAGGTGCCAAACTTCAACTTGCCTTTCTTTCCTTTGACCTTTGGTCCACTTAGATCTAATGAAATATCACTGCCCTCTGCTTCAAGGTGTCCTGAAGGGGAAACAACTGCAAGCCCACCCTCGTCACTCAAAGAGGAAGATCGATGTCTTGACTTCTTGAAAAGATCCAGTGAAGCTGACTTGCTTTTGGGTGAAACGGCAAGTCCAGCATCACCCTCAAATTGTAAGTTTCCTTCTCCACTATGTACACTGAAATCTTTAGAGACCTGTCCTTTTCCACTGGTACTCAGTTCAACCTCTGTTCCCCGAAGGTCCCCTGCACTCCTGCCCTTTGCTTTTGATTTGCCAAAAAAATTTGGTATCTTCACCTTTGTCTTTCCCTCACCCTGCCTTATTTCTGGATTGGAAACGGCAATATCCGCTGAGCACTGAAGCTCCCCACTAGCCGCAACTTTCGTTGCAACCTTTCCATCACCCTCCTGGCTCACAATCTCGGGCAGCATAAAACCAAATTTTGGTACCTTGAGCTTGGGAAATGTCACTGTACCTTCAGGATACTGAAGGCCTCTAAAAATGCCGCCTGCCGGAGAAATGTCAATGTCTGGCATTTTGAACTGGGGAGTCTTTAGCTTCACATCAAAGCCTTCGTAACTAACATTTGGACTGCTGGTAACAGAACCCTGCAACTCTGCAGTGGGGGATTTCAACTCCTCAGATAAAAATCCATCACCTTTAATTTTTGGAGATTTGATATCAAGTTCTACATCAGGAAATTGAAGTTTACCAAAAATTGGCTTTTTTACTTTGGATCTTTGGACATTAATATTCGATGTTCCTGCTGTTACATCAACAGTTGGTGCCTCTGTGTCAAAGTCTGATTTCTTTGCCTTTCCTGTTACTTTCGGAAGTTTGAATTTACCCTTCTTCCCCTTTATGCTGACATCTATATCAGGATATGACAAATCACCTTTCATGTTTGAACTTTCAAATGCCCCTGTTGGACCCTTAATTTTTGGATCACTGATAGCCAATCCTGGTGCTTTGATTTCTCCTTCAAAATTGGTTCCTGACATATGTATGTCACCTTTTGAGTCAGAACTTCGCACATTTAAATTAACTTTTGGCATGGAGATGTTTGGACCTGAGATTTTTGCTGTCTTTAATTTTGGTCCCTTAATCTTACCACTGGGGCTATCAATGTCAACGTCTGGTCCTTCAACACTGAACGTTGGGCCTTTAATGTCACCTTTTGGGAGACGAACATCAAGTTCTGGAGCTTGAACGCCAACCCCTGGGACTTTGACATCAATATTAGTTTTGGGAATATTGACATTAATGTCAGGGCCCTCCAGTTTTGGACCTTTGAAGCCAAACTGCGGCATTTTTAATCTAGGAATTTCAAATCCACCCATAGTACCCTTAATGTCAACATTTGAATCATTGATATCCATTGCTGGTGCTTTTATCTCTCCTTGATAATTAGGTACTGACAAATCTACTTCGCCTTTGACTTTTGGACCTTTCAAATTGAAATCAGGTATGGAAATGTGTGATCCAGAGATTTTTGGTTCTGCACTTGGCAATTTTGGGCCCTTAATGTTCAAATCAGCTTTGGGAAGATTTACTTCAACTTCTGGTCCTTGGAGTTCAACCTCTGGGACTTTGGCATCTATATTGGCCTTGGGAAGTTTTATGTCAATGTCAGAGCCCTCCAGGTTGGGACCTTTGATGCCAAATCCTGGCATTTTGATTTTTGGCTTTTCTAATCCAATCTTGGGGCCCTTCATGTCAATTTTTGGGCCTTTGATGTCAATTTCTGGTACTTTAATGTCTCCCTCAATATTTGGTACTGATACATTCACATTACCTTCAACTTTAGGACCTTTTAGGTTGAAATCCGCACTTGGCATGTTGAGATTCGGACCTGAAATTTTTGGCAACTTGAATTTTGGTCCCTTAATCTTAGCATTAGGGCTGTCACTGTCCAGAGCTGGACCTTCAAATTCGAGTTTTGGGCCCTTAATGTCAAGATCAGCTTTGGGGAGACTGACATCAATATTTGGGCCTTGAAGTTCAACTTCAGTGTCTTTGAGATTAATATTGGCCTTGGGAACGTTGATCTCAATGTCAGAGCCCTCCATTTTCGGACCTTTGAAGCCAAATTGCGGCATTTTTAATTTAGGGATTTCAAATTCACCCGTAGAACCCTGAACGTCAACATTTGGGCCTTTAATGTTCAAATCAGCTTTGGGAAGATTTACATCGAATTCCGGGCCTTGAAGTTCAACCTCAGGGAATTTGACATCAATATCGGCCTTGGGAATTTTGATGTCAATGTCAGGGGCCTCCAGGTTTGGACCTTTAATGCCAAACCCTGGCATCTTGATTTTGGGCATTTCAATTCCAGTCTTGGGGCCCTTCATGTCAACTTTGGGGCCTTTTATATCCAATTCTGGAGCTTTAATATCTCCTTCAACATTTGGTGCAGAAACATCAATGTCACCTTTGAGTTTAGGACTGGTCATGTGGAAATCCACATTAGGCAATGAAATGTTGGGCCCTGAGAGTTTTGGCATCTTGAATTTTGGCCCCTTGATCTTACCACTGGGACTGTCAATGTCAACATCAGGCCCTTCAAAATCCAATTCAGGGCCTTTAACAGCCAATTCGGCTCTGGGTAGGCTGAAATCAACTTTTGGGCCTTTAATGTCACCCTCAGGCACATCAATATTAGCCTTGTGCATGCTTATATCAACATCAGGACCCTCAAGTTTTGGACGTTGTAAGCCAAAGTCTGGCATTTCCATTTTTGGTAATCCAAATTTACTGTTGGGCCCCTTAATATCAGCTTTAACACCTTTAATTTCAATTTCTGGTGCTTTAATATCACGCTCAACATGTGGTAGTCCCACGTCTACATCACCTTTGAATTTAGGGCCTTTCACATTCAAATCGAGATTTGGCATGGTGATGTTTGGTCCGGACATTTTTGGCATCTTGAATTTTGATCCCTTGATCTTCCCGCCACCACTGTCAATATCAACATCTAGTCCTTCACCATCTATTTTGGATCCCCTCATTGCCATATTAGCTTTGGGTAGACTCAAGTTAACATCCGGCCCTTGAACATCAACCTCAGGAACGTTGATGTCAATATCAGCCCTGGGTAGGTTGATGTCATTATTTGGCCCCTGAAATTTCGGACCTTTTACATCACCACTTGGTACTTTTATATCTACGTCAGTCTTTGGAAGTGACATGTCTGAGTCAAGTTTGACTTTTGAACTTTCCAGATTAAAATCAACATCAGGAAGAGAAAATTTTGTTCCTGCGAGCGATGGCATTTTGAGCTTTGTTCCTTTGATTTTAACATTAGGATCCCCACTTTTTACTTCTGGTCCTCCAATGTCAACATCTGGGAAATGTATTTCTCCACTGCCCCGAGTCAGATTAAGATCCGCTCCTGGAATTTCAACCTTAGGCACCTTAAAACCAAATTTTGGTATCTTAAATTTGGGTCCTTTTATTTTTGGGCCCGTTACATCCATGTCTACATCCACTCCTTCAAAACTGCCAGTCTTTCCTTTGATGTTGATATTTTCATGTGTCGGTTTCACATCAATTTCCGGGCTCTTTATCTTTGGCCCTCTGAAACCGAACTTTGGTATCTTGAATTTAGATTTCTTTGTGCTGAATCCTGGAACATCAAGATCTTCCACATCGAGCTCAGCTTTTGGCAAATGAATGCTTCCTTCACCATCACCCTGAAAACTGGGGAGGCTGATGTCAACGTCAGGACCCTCGACATGACCAAATTCTGGCATATGTAATGTTGGTAGTGAAAATCCACTCTTTGGCCCCTGAATCTCAATTTTGGAACCTTTAATTTCCATTTCTGGTGGATTAATATCCCCCTGAAGGTTTGGTACTGATACATCGACATCACTTTTAAGGTTAGGGCCTTTGAGATGTAAATCCAGGCTTGGCATGCTAATGTTTGGTCCTGAGAGTTTTGGCATTTTGAATTTTGGTCCCTTGATCTTTGCGTTAGGGCTATCAATTTCAACATCTGGGCCTTCGATATCAAATTTTGTGCCCTTAATGTCCAAGTCAACATTGGGAACACTGACATCAACATCTGGAGCTTGAATATCAATCCCAGGAACCTGAATGTCACCTTCAAGCTTTGGTCCTTTGAACCCAAATTGTGGCATTTTCATTTTAGGCAATTCAAATCCAGGCCCTTTAACAGCAACATTTGAGTCTTTAATGTCCATGTCCGGCACTTTAATATCTCCCTCGATATTTGGTACTGACACATCAAAATCACCTTTGACTTTAGGACCTTTTAGACTGAAATCCAAATGTGGCATGTTTATATTTGGACCTGAGATGTTTGGCATCTTCATTTTTGGTGCCTTGATCTTCCATCCTGGGCTGCCAATGTCAACATCTGGTACTTCAACGTCAAGATTTGGACCCTTGATGTCCACATCAGCTTTGGGGAGACTGACATCAACGTCAGGGACATTGACATCAATATTGGCCTTGGGAAGGTTGATGTCAATATCAGGGCCGTCCATTTTTGGACCTTTAAAGCCGAATCCTGACATTTTGATTTTTGGCATTTCAATTCCAGTTTTGGGGGCCTTAATGTCAACTTTTGGGCCTTTGATGTCCATTTCTGGCACTTTAATATCTCCCTCGAGATTGGGTACGGACACATCAACATCACCTTTAACTTTCGGACCTTTGAGATTAAAATCCAAATTCGGCATGTTGATGTTTGGGCCTGAGATGTTTGGCATCTTCATTTTTGGTGCCTTGATCTTCCATCCTGGACTGCCAATGTCAACATCTGGTACTCCTACATCGAGATCTGGACCCTTGATGTCCACATCAGTTTTGGGGAGACTGACATCAACATCAGGGATATTGACATCAATATTGGCCTTGGGAAGGTTGAGGTCAATATCAGGGCCCTCTAGTTTTGGACCTTTAAAGCCGAATCCTGGCATTTTGATTTTGGGCATTTCAATTCCAGTTTTAGGGCCCTGAATATCAACTTTTGGGCCTTTAATGTCTATGTCTGGCACATTAATATCTCCCTCGATATTTGGTCCTGACACATCAACATCCCCTTTGACTTTCGGACCTTTGAGATCAAAATCCAAATTCGGCATTTTGATGTTTGGGCCTGAGATTTTTGGCATCTTCACTTTTGGTCCCTTGATCTTCCATCCTGGACTGCCAATGTCAACATCTGGTACTTCAACGTCGAGAACTGGACCCTTGATGTCCAAATCAGTTTTGGGGAGACTGACATCAACATCAGGGACTTGGACATCAATATTGGCCTTGGGAAGGTTGATGTCAATGCCATGGCCCTCCAGTTTTGGACCTTTAAAGCCTAATTCTGGCATTTTGATTTGGGGCATTTCAAATCCAGCTTTGGGGCCCTTAATGTCAACTTTTGGGCCTTTAATGTCTATGTCTGGCACATTAATATCTCCCTCGATATTTGGTACTGACACATCAACATCACCTTTGACTTTAGGACCTTTTAGACTGAAATCCAAATGTGGCATGTTGATATTTGGACCTGAGATGTTTGGCATCTTGATTTTTGGTGCCTTGATCTTCCATCCTGGACTGCCAATGTCAACATCTGGTACTTCTACATTGAGATCTGGACCCTTAATGTCCACATCAGCTTTGGGGAGACTGACATCAACATCAGGGACTTTGACATCAATATTGGCTTTGGGAAGGTTGATGTCAATATCAGGGCCCTCCCGTTTCGGGCCTTTTAAGCCGAATTCTGGCATTTTGATTTTGGGCATTTCAATTCCAGTTTTGGGGCCCTTAATGTCAATTTTTGGACCTGTGACGTCCATAACCGGCACTTTAATATCTCCCTCAATATTTGGTGCAGAAACATCAACATCACCTTTCAATTTCCGGCCTTTCATATGGAAATCTACATCAGGCATGGAGATGCTTGGTCCTGAAATTTTGGGCATCTGGAATTTCGGTCCTTTGATTTTACCGCTGGGACTATCAATATCAACATCTGGTGCTTGGATGTCCAATTCTGCACCTTTAATTTTCAAATCAGCTTTCGGAAGACTGACACTCACTTCAGGCCCTTGGGTGTCTACCCCCGGGGCCTTGATGTCAATATTAGCCATGGGGGGTTTTATGTCAATGTCAGGACCTTCGAATTTTTTACCTTTGAAGCCAAAGTCCGGCATTTTAAATTTGGGTAATCCAAAACCACTCTTCGAACCCTTAATGTCAACCTTGGGACCTTTAATATCAATATCTGGAGATTTTATTTCTCCCTCGATATTGGGTAGTGATGCATCGTTACCTTTAAGTTTGGGGCCTTTCAGGTGGAAGTCCACATCAGGTATAGAGATACTTGGCCCTATGATCTTTGGCATCTTGAATTTTGGTCCCTTGATTTTACCACTGGGGCTGTCAATGTCAAGATCTGGTCCTTCAATGTCCATTTTTGGGCCTTTAATATCCAAATCAGCTTTTGGAAGATTAACATCAATCTCTGGCCCTTGTAGTTCAACTTCAGGGACTTTGATGTCAATATTGGCCTTGGGAAGGTTGATGTCAATATCAGGGCCCTCCAGGTTAGGACCTTTCAAGTCGAATCCTGGCATTTTGATTTTGGGCATTTCAATTCCAGTTTTGGGGCCCTTAATGTCAACTTTAGGTCCTTTGATGTCCATTTCTGGCACTTTAATATCTCCCTCGATATTTGGTACTGACACATCAACATCACCTTTGACTTTAGGACCTTTGAGACTGAAATCCAAATGTGGCATGTTTATATTTGGACCTGAGATGTTTGGCATCTTCATTTTTGGTGCCTTGATCTTCCAACCTGGACTGCCAATATCAACATCTGGGAGGTCAACATCTAAATCTGGACCCTGGATATCCACATTAGTTTTAGGGAGACTCACATCAACCTCAGGGATTTTGACATCAATATTGGCCTTGGGAAGGTTGATGTCAATGTCATGGCCCTCCAGTTTTGGACCTTTCATGCCGAATCCTGGCATTTTTATTTTGGGCATTTCAATTCCAGTTTTGGGGCCCTTAATGTCAACTTTTGGGCCTTTGATGTCCATTTCCGGCACTTTAATATCTCCCTCGATATTTGGTACTGACACATCAAGATCCCCTTTGACTTTTGGACCTTTGAGACTGAAATCCAAATGTGGCATGCTGATATTTGGGCCTGAGATGTTTGGCATCTTCATTTTTGGTGCCTTGATCTTCCATCCTGGACTGCCAATGTCAACAGCTGGTACTTCTATGTCGAGATCTGGACCCTTGATGTCCACATCAGCTTTGGGGAGACTGACATCAACATCGGGGACTTTGACATCAATATTGGCCTTGGGAAGGGTGATGTCAATGTCAGGGCCCTCCATTTGTGGACCTTTCAAGCCAAATTCTGGCATTTTGATTTTGGGCATGTGAATTCCAGTGTTGGGGCCCTTCATGTCAACTTTTGGGCCTTTGATGTCCATTTCCGGCACTTTAATTTCTCCCTCGATATTTGGTACGGACACATCAACATCACCTTTGAGTTTCGGACTCTTCAGATGGAAATCCACATCAGGCATGGAGATGCTTGGCAATTTGAATTTTGGTCCTTTGATCTTTCCACTCGGACTGTCTATGTCAAGTTCTGGTACTTTGACGTCAATGTCAAAACCTTTGACATCCAAATCAGTTTTGGGGAGATTTACATCGAATTCCGGGCCTTGAAGTTCAACCTCAGGGAATTTGACATCAATATCGGCCTTGGGAAGGTTAATGTCAATGTCAGGGCCCTCCCGTTTAGGGCCTTTTAAGCCGAATTCTGGCATTTTGATTTTGGGCATGTGAATACTAGTGTTGGGGCCCTTAATGTCAAATTTGGGGCCTTTAATATCCAGGTGCAGAAACATCAACATCACCTTTGAGTTGAGGACCTTTCAGATGGGAATCCACATCAGGCATGGAGAGGCTTGGCAATTTGAATTTTGGTCCTTTGATCTTTCCACTCGGACTGTCTATGTCAAGTTCTGGTACTTTGACGTCAATGTCAAAACCTTTGACATCCAAATCAGTTTTCGGGAGATTTACATCGACTTCCGGGCCTTGAAGTTCAACCGCAGGGAATTTGACATCGATATCGGCCTTGGGAAGGTTGATGTCAATGTCCTGGCCCTCCAGTTTTGGACCTTTAAAGCCGAATCCTGGCATTTTGATTTTGGGCATTTCAATTCCAGATTTGGGGCCCTTAATGTCAAATTTGGGGCCTTTAATATCCACTTCTGGTGGTTTAATATCTCCTTCAACTTTTGGTCCTGAAACATCAACATCACCTTTGAGTTGAGGACCTTTCAGATGGAAATCCACATCAGGCATGGAGATGCTTGGCAATTTGAATTTTGGTCCTTTGATCTTTCCACTTGGACTGTCTATGTCAAGTTGTGGTCCTTTGATGTCAATGTTCACATCTTTGACATCCAAATCAGTTTTGGGGAGATTTACATCAACTCCCGGGGCTTGAAGTTCAACCTCAGGGAATTTGACATCAATCCCGGACTTGGGAAGGTTGATGTCAACATCAGGACCCTCCAGTTTTGGACTTTTAAAGCCAAATTTTGGCATACTGATTTTTGGCATTTCAAATCCAGTCTTTGGGCCTTTAATGTCAACTTTTGGGCCTTTGATGCCCACTTCTGGCACTTGAATATTGCCCTCAATATTTGGTACTGAGACATCAACATCGCCTTTGACTTTGGGACCTTTGAGACTGAAATCCAAATGTGGCATGTTTATATTTGGACCTGAGATGTTTGGCATCTTCATTTTTGGTGCCTTGATCTTCCATCCTGGACTGCCAATGTCAACATCTGGTCCTTCAACCTCGAGATCTGGACCCTTGATGTCCACATCAGTTTTGGGAAGACTGACATCAACATCAGGGACTTTGACATCAATATTGGCCTTGGGAAGGTTGATGTCAAAATCAGTGCCCTCCAGGTTAGGACCTTTAAAGCCGAATCCTGGCATTTTGATTTTGGGCATTTCAATTCCAGTTTTGGGGCCCTTCATGTCAACTTTTGGGCCTTTGATGTCAATTTCTGGCACTTTAATATCTCCCTCGATATTTGACAATGAAGCATCAACATCACCTTTGAGTTTCGGACCTTTGAGATGGAAATCCACATCAGGCACGGAGATGCTCGGCAATTTGAATTTTGGTCCTTTGATCTTTCCACTTGGACTGTCCATGTCAAAATCTGGTCCTTTGATATCAATGTTTATATCTTTGACATTCAAATCAGTTTTGGGGAGATTTACATCAACATCTGGGCCTTGAAGTTCAACCTCAGGAATTTTGACATCAATATCCGCTTTTGGAAGGTTGATGTCAATATCAGAACCCTCCAGTTTTGGACTTTTGAAGCCAAATTTTGGCATACTGAATTTTGGCATTTCAAATCCAGTTTTGGGCCCTTTAATGTCAACTTTTCGGCCTTTTATGTCAACTTCTGGTCCTTTGATGTCTCCTTCAATATTTGGAACTGTCACATCAGCATCGCCTTTGACTTTAGGACCTTTTAGATTGAAATCCAAATGTGGCATGCTGATATTTGGGCCTGAGATGCTTGGCATCTTCATTTTTGGTGCCTTGATCTTCCAACCTGGACTGCCAATATCAACATCTGGGAGGTCAACATCTAAACCTGGACCCTTGATCTCCACATTAGTTTTAGGGAGACTCACATCAACCTCAGGGATTTTGACATCAATATTGGCCTTGGGAAGGTTGATGTCAATGTCA